TCGTTTTTTCTTCGCGCGCGCACGCCGTCGTCGTCGGCCGCGGGGCCCTGAATAGTAGCCACGGTCGTCCGCATGCCACGAAGTGAAGTGTCCGAACGTCATAGGGCGGGAAGCTGGGTGTGGGTGGTGGCGAAGAGTCGTTTGGAAATTTGGTAGAGCTTGAACCGGCCCCCCCACAAAGTGGGGTATTGCCCGCCTCCTATGAAAACCCTGGCACTGGTGAGAACGGAGTGTCCCCACGTGCTAGTAATTGTTGTTGTTGTTGTTGTTGTTGTTGTTGTTGTTGTTGTTGTTGTTGTTGTTGTTGTTGTTGTTGATGTGGTTGTTGTTGTTGTTGTTTGCTGGCGTCGTCCCACCCGCGACCCGCCCCGCGACCCACCCGCGACCCGCCCCGCGACCCACCCGCGACCCACCCGCGACCCACCCGCGAGTCACCCGCGACCCACCCCGCGACCCACCCCGCGACCCACCCCGCGACCCACCCCGCGACTCACCCGCGACCAACCCGCGACCCACCCCGCGACGCGCCCGCGACCCACCCCGAGACCCCCTTGGCGACACACCCGTGACCCACCCGCGACCCACCCGCGACCCACCGCGAACCACACGCGAGTCACCCGCGACTCACCCCCCGACCCACCGCGGGCTTCTTTTGAATCCGCTCCAGGTGGAGAACGCGCGACCCACCCGCGACCAAAACCGCGTTCACTATACAAATCAGAGTGAGGAGGCCGAGCGGTCATTCACTGTCCCTGGGTGCGTGGCTGAAATGGAATTCCGCGGTGCGGATTCTCGTTGTTGTTGTTGTTGTTGTTGTTGTTGTTGTTTGTTGTTGTTTGTTGTTGTTTGTTGGTGTTTGTTGTCGTCGTCCCACCCGCAACCCGCCCCGCGACCCACCCGCGACCCAGCCCGCGACTCACCCGCGACCCAACCCGCGACCCACCCCGCGACCCACCCGCGACCCACCCGCGACCCACCCGCGACCCACCCCGCGACCCACCCCGCGACCCACCCTGCGACCCACCCCGCGACCCAACCCGCAACCCACCCCGCGACCCCCCCGCGGCCCACCCCGCGACCCACCCGCGACCCACCCGCGACCCACCCGCGACCCACCCGCGACCCACCCGCGACTTACCCCGCGACCTACCCCGCGACCCACCTTCGACCCAAACCACTTTCAAGGTACAAACCACAATTTTCGGCGCCTGCGGCGGGCTTTTTTGCATTCCTTCCAAGTGGAGAGCCCGCGACACATCCCGTGACCAACTCGCGACCAACCCGCGACCCAAACCACGTTCAGGGTACAAACCACATTTTTCGGCGCCTGCGGCGGGCATCTTTTGCATTCGTTTCAGGTGGAGAGCCCGCGGCCCACCCGCGACCGCGTTCAAGGTACAAACCAATTTTTCGGAGCCTGCGGCGGGCATCTTTTGCATTCGTTCCCGGTGGAGAACCCGCGACCCACCCGCGATCCAAACCACGTTCAGTGTACATACCAATTTTTTGGGCGCCTGCGGCGGGCTGCTTTTGCATTCCTTCCAGGTGGAGGTGGAGAGCCCGCGACCCACCCGCGACACAAACCACGTTCACTGAACAAACCAATGCCGCACAAGCGCGGCGGCGGATGACGGGAAGCGCCTCCGGCGTGCACCGTTGGTTCAGGGGCTTAATTTTCTCTGACGAAGGGGTACCGATTCCATCCCGCACCTCGCTGGCGGATGACGGGAAGCGTCTTCGAGGTACGAGAAGCAAGCGGGACGTTCTGGCTGAATCCTTGAGTAAATATATCTTTTCTTTAACTATATGGG